CTTGGGATCTCCAATCAACAAGGTAGGATTACCATTACAAGGACTCTAACGTAGTAGGCTTTACCTCATTCCCTTTGATATGCAGTATTCTTGATCTCTCCTAGTAAATCTCTTTAAAGGTACCACGAGTTTACACCATTGAGATCAACTGCTTGGCGGTATTATGTCTTACCGTTACATGTGACTTAGTATCTTTATCAAATGTAGCTGGCCAGCGATTGATTTATTTAATAGATACACATTGTTACAGCCAAGAAATCCTCTCATGAAGCTACATGCTTCTTATTAGCTTTATCTAAAGCTATTTCAGACGCGATTGGAGGATTTTCTTATAGTCAATCATTTCTTATAGTTGAAGGGTGTTCAATTTCTAATATTGAACTGTCACAGTGTATTTGAACCTTATGAATATTCTTCAAATATTTCAATTGTTCTTGCTTCTTCTAGCCCTTCCAGTAACTGACTGACTACCACAGGTATACTTATGGAACATCTTCCAAAAGTTACGAAGCGAAGTTGTTTTGCTTCTTTTTCGACTTTATCCGACGCAATGAACTCAGATTCTATAATTAATTGAGTTATAACATGCCTTGTCAATTCCATAGCAACTCCACCAAGGATAACAAAATAACCACTTGTGGATTTGGAATCCTTCATGTGGGATATTCAATTAGATTTCAATATCCTTCGAATACCATAGGATACCTTATGAAATGTAATCCAAGGGTCATAGTATACTTTAAATACCCAAAGACCCTTGTCAATGCCACCCAATGATTATGGCCTGGATTACTCGTGGATTTACTAAGTTATTCACAGCAAAAGTAATATATGATTGAGTGCAGTTCGTAATATATATTAGACTGCTAATCATTTGTGAATACCTTAGTTGTGACACGTTTCCACTCTTATTTTAACCAAGTGTATACTTGTATTAATATGTGTCTTGAATTATTTCCCGCAAATACTTAAACATTTTCTCTATCATAATGATATTGGGAAAGTACAATTCCTAGAGATCTTTATCCCTAGTATTACTTTTGCCACACCCATGCCTCTCATATCGAAATGCTTCGTTAGCATTTTCTTGATGTTTACCAACACTTCGTGGCTATTACCTAATATACAATCACATAGGCATTTGGTGTATTCACGTATACACACTTGTCACATTAGTTCATTTTAAATCCGTTTACAAGTTTTATGGGTTTCACTTTGGAGAAACGAATCCTCCAGGTTGCTCCATGTATATCTCCCATTTAGGAGTACCGTTCTCACATCCATTTGATGAATCTCAAGGTTATATATAGATTGCCGCAGTTGCAATTAGTAACCTTATCAAAGTAACTCTAGTTATGGATGAGTGGATATCAAAGAAGTCAAGTCCTTCTTTCTAACCCTCTTACTACGCCTTGGTTCTTTTTAATTTGAAGATCCATTTGTAGCTTCATAAGTTCTCTTATTTGAACTTACATTTCCTTTGTCTTTGCAAGGAATAATTCTAAAGAATATTATACTTCTTTATTCCACTATGGTACCCTCATGTACATCCAATTTGTGTACAGAAAATGATATGCATTACTATTTATTGGTGTATCCAATAAATATGCAATCAATCACTTTGGGACCAATCTTTATTTGTTAGGAACTTCGACCTTTGCCAAACATCCCCACACTTTTACATGTTGATAGGATGAATGATGACTTTTCCACAACTAATATGGAGTCTTTTCCATTTTCTTGAGAAGTACAGAAAAGTGTAACTTTAAGTTACCCCCACAATTCCTAAATTAGGAATGTACGTACGTTTTGAACCTTTCGTATAAGTTCTCAAGCATTTATGATAACCCCCA